CAAAGACCTGGAGTCTGAAAACCAAAAGGGAAGAACACGCTCGGCATTTCTCAAACTGAAAGAACTGAAGAAAATCAAAAGGGAAATAAGAAAATATTTAACCTGAAAGAAAATAAAATCACAACATATCAAAATTTATGGGATACAACTAAATCAGCATTTGTAGAGAAATTTATATCACTAAATGCTTATACAGGTATCCCCTGCTTTTTGATAATTTGCTTTACTCCACTTCACTTTTAAGAAAGACCAACATTAGTATCTGTTTTCGCTAACTAAACGAAATCTGATGAGGATTTTCACTTTTAGAAAAAAGGTAAAAAGCAAAATTAGCATTCAACATTGGTTTTGCAGCAAGCCTTAAAGATGCAGTACGCATCCCCCAGCAGTGAGTGGCATCACCAAGCTCCTTCCTAGGGAACCACACTCAGCATCTCAGCATCAAGCCGCCAGTTTTGAACTATGTCTGTGAACACTGTAGCTTAGTGTTATTTTAGGTTTTATGTGTTAGTTGGTATGATTTGTAGGTTATTTTTGGGGTCTGGGAACCCTCAAAATATTTTCCTACATTAAGTAATCATAACTGCTTTATTGCTTTATGCCATTTCGGCTTAAGAAAGGTTTCATAGAACACTCTACTTTTGGATAGTGGGGGAAACCTGTGTGAGCAAGAAGCAGTATTTGATATCAAAGTGTGGTCCCGAGACCAGCAACATCACCATCACCTGTAAACCTATTAGAAATGTAAATCCTCAGTCCCTGCCCCAGACCTGCTGACTCAGCAACTCAGGTTGAGGCCCAGTAAGCTCTGTCCCTCAAGGTGATTCTGATGCATATTCAGTTTAAGAACCACTGCTGTATGCTACCTTTAGCTCTGGTGGTGCTGTGGTTAAACCATTCAGCTGCTAACAACATCCCCAGCCACTCCACAGGAGAAAGATGAGGCAGTCTGCTTCCATAAAGAAGCCTTGGAAACCCTAGGAGACAGTTCTACTCTGTCCTATAGGATCACTGTGAGTCTGAATAAACTTGATGGCAGTGGGATTTGGCTATATACTATTGGAGTGTCAGTTTTATTGTTAGCATTTCTTTCTTCAATATAATCATTCCACATATTTCATACTGCTCTGAAGTTCATGTCATTTAAAACAATTTTGTTTTGAATAGCCTGTTAATTTTATGTCAAGTTTAGAAAATTTCCCAGGTCCAAGGAGTCCTGCATATGATTAATCTTACAAATATAATGCCTCGTTTGCTATAAAGACAAATTTCAGAAGGTATAGTTACAATTTTTCTTGAAATCTGAACAGATGGAGGGTAAACATCACTGTGGAATATGACCCCAGTGAGTAATTCCTACTGTATCTCTTAGGCTCGCCATGTAGAGTCAAATGTAATCAATTACCAATCATGTTCCCTGATAAAAAGGAACAGAGACGTGTTAAATATGAGTGATAATATAAAATAAATTGCTAATTGCTTGAAATGTGGCTATATCTACACTTAATGAATGTGTCTGATGTTCTGGAAAGTCACTTCAAATAAAGTCCTAACATAAGAAATAACTCAGAATAACAGATATCACCTTTCCAACTAATTCCATGTATTAATGTAAAGTAGTTCTGGTCTCTATTTAATTTTGTTGGCTCACATCTTTACGGGGACAAGAGTATAAATAGATTGGTTTTAATAGGCTCTAGCTATAGTTTCTGTAAATCAAGAGCAGACAAAATCCACATTGTATCAAAACACTTAAGTGATAAGTATAGATGACAATTTCAATAAGAACTTAAAAGCAACATTTGTTGTGTAAGAACTGTAATATGGTAGAATATGAAGCACTAATAGAATTAATCTCTTAGTTAATCTCAGTTTGATTGTATGACAGTCTTCAAAAATAAAGGGAAAAATTTAGCAAAATTCTCCTAGGTTCTAAAGGGAAAATGAAGTCTTCTCCCCAAATCTTTGCTAACTTTCATCAGCTTTGGTTCTTTCTGAGACACTGCCTCTGGTCTAAAAGAACAAAGGCCCACAACAGCTGGCTATGGGGCTATGAGAATATAATTAACCAAGTAATCAACAAGCCATTACTGTTAAAATGTTTTAATATCAAAGTAACATAAGATTGGAGTTTTACAAGCAAGTTTCAGAATACAGGCACTGATTTCTAAAATGGTTTCCCTCCCTTACAGAAGCCTAAATATAAACATATAAATATTAGATGGTTTCTTTCAAAGCACAATATTTTTTCCATTTTAATACATTTTAATGCAGTTGACAAATGTACAAAATAACTAACTTCCAAATAAAAGCTTCTAGCAGAAATATCAAAATTAAAAATATGGCATTTTAATTTACTTATTGGCAAAAAAACCAGAAAGAAACAAAGCTTTGCCCCACATCTCAGAAAATCGACCACCAATTTCTTTCTAGAAGACTGATGGCATTAACAGTAGCCTCCCTTTACAGCATCCTCATATCCCTGGTTCAGTCCATGTTACAGTTTCAATTGCTGAAAATGCCCCACCATCTTCTTCACTGTAGTGTGTTTGGCAAGGCACTGTTTGGGAGATGAACCATGAAGAACATTAAGTGCCTGACTGAAGAGTTAACCATACATCCTGGGCCTGCCAATTGTGTTAGGATAGTAATGGAAATGTAAAATTCTAGGAGGCATTCTTTTTTTCTCCTTTCCAAGTTGCCAGTATAGACAGTACCTAGAAGCAAAGAGTAGAGGAAGGTAACAATAGCCACATACGTGTAACCTCTCTAGACCTAAAGGCAAAATGCAAACTACAGTGAGCCAAAGAACTGACTCTCATTTGGGTTTCATCTATGGCTGCAAACAACCTCCAAACTGAGAGGTTCACAGATTAGGGAACACTTTCAATGCATTGAGGGTCTAGCAATTTACATAAGCATATTATTAAAATGTCTGTCTTTTCTAAGAGTTGTATGTGTCTCATTATGGATTGGGTGCCAACCAAATAAAGTAAATAAACTTCAAATACTTCTTTTTACTATATCCATTTCCAAAATTAAAAAGCATCTCTAACACAATTTTGTCTTTCCTCAGTGTATTAGTAAAACAAGTAGAAATTCAAAACATAGCTGTAATATGACACAATATGATTCATTTTTCTTCAGTTTTTTAGTCTGTTCCAAAGTACTTCTGTCCAAAATGTGTAGGTGCAACAGGATGAACTTCAGTAGTTAAAATTGTGATCTCTGGAAACTCTTGAATGATTAATTTGGCACCTTCAAAAGATAAAAGGAAAATTGTTGTTATGCCAAGATTTTTTGGTAATACTAGTTAGAATTCATGAATTTTATAGTTAGTCACCAGGTCTAATATTAGACCTACAACAGTGACCTTTGGATACCTAACCAGATATAGTTATTCTCTACTTAGTTTATATAGTGTTTGATATCTGAAAAACTTTGATGGTAGTCAGACTATGCCCCACCTATTCAGTTACAAATTCTCAAAATCAAATTGTTTTGCTTTCTAGATTTGCAAAATGTAGTTATTCAGTTATAGCATTATTTCCCTAAAGAGTCTCTTGCTTTCTTTTAAAGGTAGGTGAAATGAGAAAATACAATCCTTTCTGGAAACAGGATTATACAAGATGATGGTTTCCCAACAAGAACACTATGTAACAAGTACATGACTTCTTTGGTGTGTCAGAGAAAGCTAGCTTTTTAGAACTATCACTTTACCTTTGAGGAAGCAGGAGGGCAGAGAAAGAGAATTAGGATTAGCTAGGTACAAATGGTTAATATGCTTGGCCACTAACTGAAAAGAGTATCAGAAGAAAGGCCTGGCAATCTATTTCTAAAAAATCAGTCATTGAAAACCCTATGGAACACAGTTCTACTCTGACACACATGGATCACCATAAGTTGGAATCAACCCAACAACAACTTGTAGGATCCCTATCAAGCTGAAAATCTTAGCAAGGGTGCCACATAATAAGATTTTTGCAGCTATGATGTCAAAGAATAGTATACTATTCTAATGTATAAAATTAGAACTAAAGGAAGACTTCTCATCCTAATATTAAAGAGCTTACTTTTCTACTCCAAAGGCAGAAATCCCTGTAATTACCTATCTCAATTTTTTCAGTGCTACCTGCACTACATATAAATGGATGACCAGGCAAACCACACTTTGTTGCCATCAACATTTGAACCACAGGTAATTTTTGGTTATGACATAGGAAAGTGATAACAAAAGGCCATAATTTCTACAGAAACCAAAAAAAAAAAAACCCAACCCACTGTCATGTAATTTCTACGCAAAGGTCTCCTAAAAATGGCCTGCCAAACTTCTGAGCTTTTTCAGGGTTGACTGAGACTTGGAACCTTTGGAAATGAAGAAATATCTTGCTAGAAGCTATACATTTCTTTCTTTTCAATTACAAAATAAATATAAATTCATTGTAGAACATTTAGAAAATACAAAAAAAGAAGAAGATGCTTTAGAATAAATTGAAAATCACCTGGAATCCCATCATCCTGAAATAATCACTATGAATATTGTGTATGCATTTTAAACCAAAACTGAAATAATACTGTGCATCTGTATAGCCTTTCATCCTGAGGAAAGATTTATTTGGTTTCATGTTAAATCCACGTCTGATCCTGGCTGTCATTTTTTTATATTTGTCATAATTTGTAAGGACAGTTCAAATCAAGTCATAAATAGTCATAATTTGTATTTGTCATCTCTAAGCATGGTGACAATATTTTACACTACTCTAATTATGTTATTTTTAACCTGTTTTTCACATTTACCACACACATTGTTTTAATGTCACTAAATATTTTTCAAAAGCATGACATGACAGTTACATACTATAACATCCTCTGAATATATATAATTTATTTAACCATTTCCTTATGGTTGGTCATTTACATACTTTTGATTTTTTCTTATACAAATTAACTCTAAGATGACATCCTAGACACTAAATTTCTACATGCATTTATGATTATTTTCTTGGGATACGTTCCCAATTTCCCAGATTTTATGGCAAAGAACTTGTTTCTTAACTTCAGCATACCTCCCTCAGGAAATGGAGAACACACAATTCTCTTGCTATGCCCTTTGAGCAGAAGTCTAACTTAGAAGAACTTCTGTTCTTCACTTTATACTACAAAGCTTACTTCAGTAAGACTAGAGGGCTAACTAGAACCTCAAGTTTCTTGCTGTTTCAGAGCAGTTCTCAGGTTCAAGTGGGGAATCAAGAGAAATAAAAGGATTTCAGCCATTTTCAGGACCTACCCAAACTGGGTCACAAAGAAAACAATTGTAATTTCCTTCAATGGTGTTAATTCATACCACTTCATTTGCATTTGAACAACAGTAGAATGCTGTAAAATATTATCACCAAGCTTGGAAATGACAAACATAAGTTATAACTACCAAAATTATATTTGTATTTAATTTGGGATTAGATAAACTTTTCCTCCAAATGATAGACTAGACATTTAACCATTCTGTGACTAACTGGAGTCCCAGTCACTGTCCCATGTTGAACTCACCATGAGGAGTAGAGAATAAACTGAGTAGGATGATAACACTCGGTTGAACTCCATGTTCTATAAGAACCTTTACAGCTTCAATTACAGTATTCCCAGTGCCTGGAATCAAATGACAACCAAATGCATTAGCAAATTTAACATTTATCTCAAAATGTCTTTAAAGTAAGGGCAGTTCAACAATCTAACATAAGATACCACAAAGTAAAGCTTCACTTGAAGGTACCTATTCTGGTGGTGTAGTGCCTAAGGCATTTGACTGCTAAACAGAGGGTTGCTGGTTCAAACCCACCAGCCACTCCATGGAAGGAAGACTGGGCAATCTACTTCCATAAAGATTAAACACTTTGGAATCCCAAAGGGGGTTTCTATGAGTCAGAATCGACTTGATGGCAGAGTTTGGTTTTTTTATTTATTCTGTATCATTAACGATCCCTGGTGGCAAAGTGGTTAAAGCCCTCAGCTGCTAAACAAAAGATCAGCAGTTCAAACTCACCAGCCTCCCTGGGATTCTCCCAGATTTGGCAGTCTGCTTCCATAGATTTACAGCCTTGGAAACGCTATAAGGCAATTCTAGTCTGTCAAGCTCGCAATGAATCTGAATTGACAGTGGATTTGGTTTTGGGTGGGTATTCTTTACCAAAGGAACCCTGGTGGTGCAACAGTTAAGTGGGTGACTGCTAACCAAAAGGTTGGTAGTTTGAACCCACCCAGTAGCTTCATGGGAAAAAGAACTGAAAATCTGCCCCTATAAAGATTATAGCATAGGAAACCCCTATGGTGCAGTTTCACTCTGTCACATGGGATCACTATGAGTTGGAATCAATCTGACAGTACCCAACAACAACATTCTTTATCAATAATATTATTTTCAGCAGTGGGACATGACACATATACTTTTCAGTTGTCAAATACACAACATATTCTAATTCCATTCAATATTTGAGATAGCAAATTTTAAAAAAAATGTTTGATATGAGGTTATCTTTTCATTTGTGTTATTGTTAGTAGGTTTTTGTTGTTGTTGTTGTTTAATTGTGATTTGGGTGAAAATTTACAGAGCAAATTCACTTTCTGTACAGCAGTTCACATACATGTCATCTCATGACATTGACTACAATTTACCACAATGCAACAGTTCCCCTCCCACTTCTTCCCCATAGTTACTTCTTCCCTGTGTCCTTCCCTCCATGTACTCCTGCCCCCTGAGATATGTCCCTGTCCATACACAGCCCTTCCATTCTCCCATGATTGTTCTCTCCAAGGAGTGTATGATAGTTGGAGCTGTTTGTCAATTTGGCTGGACCACAATTCTGTGTGGTTTAAGCAATTGTGATGTGGGTTGTTCCAATGATGGGATCAGATGTGTATGTTTTGAGCAGCTAATCCACTGAAAGGGCGTTTCCCTAGGGGAAACTCCCAGTATATTTATGGATATCCTGGGAAAAGAGATACTCTTCTGTGGATCAGGATTCTGTTGTGCTGCCTACAACTGTCCGTGAGTGAACAATCCACCATTCGGCCTGAAGATCTTGGATTCATCATTCGTTGGAGTCAACAGCCTTCCAACCTTGAGCTTGTCAGGCCCTGCAGCTGCATGAGTCAGGAAAAGCCTCTAGCTTGACGTTTGATCCAAGAACTTGGGACTTGCAAGCTTCTATAAGTGTGTGAGCCATTTTCCTAAGATAAATTTCTCTTTCTCTCTCTCTCTCTCTATAAGCTTCTCTAGAGAACCCAGTCTAACACATTTGGTACCAGGAGAGGTTCTAGAGAGACAAAATCATAAGGATGGACTTTCTAAATTGGTTCTCCAATGTGATTAAATTGTAAAGGCATTGGTGACCCTGCCTCTGTTAATAAAGAGGGCCTTGCTAATCTGTGCTATGAGGTGGCACATTAATATGCAAAATAGCACCAACAATAGATCAAGTACTTTTGAGAGGCTCTGGGTGATTGCATATTTGATACTTTTCTGCAATTTTGTCAGCATGAGGAGTATAAGGAAGCTGGTTGGTTGGTCCTACTAACACTAGACAAAGTGCTGAAAGAGAGATGAGCTCACAGCTGCTGAGTCACAGCTTAAGTGTTGCATAAAAGACCGCAATGTTTCCAGTTGTGCTCTGAAAGAAAGCCTTATTTCTTCTAGTAACAGAGCTGATATTGCCGAAAACCAAACCCAGAGTCTTATTGTAAGGGTGGCTGAATTACAACACCAATTAAACTACCAACCTAGAATGGTGTCTAAAGTTAAAGTGAGGGCATTGATTGGGAAAAAATGGGATCCTAAAACCTGGAATGGGGACATATGGGCAGATTATCAGGAAGATCAGGATATGGAGCCTGTAAATTCTGTTGAATCCCTCCAACATGAAGGGATTACTGTAAAACCATCATCCCCTCCACCTCAGTTTGATGGGATTAACCCAACTGTTCCTGCTGGGTCATTGCCTGAGGCAGAGGTCATGGAAGACATTGCTGAATGTTCTCAGGAACTGCCCTAATTGAACTAAGACACTTAACTACAATGGGGCTGATTAGACACCATGGTAGTAGGGGACAAGTGGCAGTAGTTAATCATCAAAGCAAGGTGGATGTGGTTACCATAATGAACAGCAAAGTCAGAACAGTAATCAGAATACTCTGACTCGTGTGGAATTATGGCATTGGCTACTTGTGCATGGTGTTCCTAGTAGTGAAATATATGGCAAACCTACTAAATATTTACTTGATCTGTATAGACAGAAGCATTCTAGGTCACATGAACAGCAGCCTAGATTGAATCACCAGAATACAGAGTCATGGCCTCTCAATCAATTCCCAGACTTGAGTCAGTTTACAGACCCAAAACCCCTTGAATGAAGGGGAGGCCAGGTCCCTTTGAGTAAGGACCCCACTCCATTGCCAGAAACTTATGTCAGTCTTTCTCCCAGCCTTCCATAAAGGATCTGAGGCCTTTTATGAGAGTGACTGTTCACTGGGGAAAAGGAAATAATCAGATTTTTGGGGGATTACTGTACACTGGCTCTGAACTAATACTAACTCCAGGAGATCCATAGCATCACTGTGGCCACCAGTTAGAGTGGGGGCATATGGAAGTCAAGTTATTGATGGAATCTTAGCTAAGGTACACCTAACAGTGGGTGCAGTGGGTCCCGGAACACATCCTGCAGTGATTTCCCCAGTTCCAGAATGCATAATTGGAATAGATATTCTGAGCAACTGGCAGAATTCCCACATGGGTCCATGACATGTGGAGTAAGGGCTATTATGGTAGAAAAAGACAAGTGGAAGCCATTAGAACTGCCTCTACCTACAAAAATAGTAAATCAAAAGCAATGCTACATTACTGGAGGGGTTGCAGGGATTCTGCCACCCTCAAGGACTTGAAGGATGCAGGGGTGGTGATTCCCACCACATTCCCATTTAATTTGCCTATTTGGCCTGTGCAAAAACCAGATGGATCTTGGAGAATGACAGTAGATTATCGTAAACTTA